ACCAAGAAATCCAAAATCGCCCCATCAGTCTCCAAATACTGACCCCCAAAGGTGGGGGACAGAGCCTCCTTTCGAAACATGCAAGTTCGCAAAATTGACGTAGAGACTCGGAAAAAAGAGTTTCCATGGGTAATAGACCCCAAAGAATCCGACTTTGAGGGTCCCGTTGTCCAGAGAGTCTTCTCTGATGTCGCTCAGGGGGACCCTGAATTTGTTAATTTGACCAGCCCCCCCCCCCCCTGGTCAAATTAACAAATTCAGGGTCCCCCTGAGCGACATCAGAGAAGACTCTCTGGACAACGGGACCCTCAAAGTCGGATTCTTTGGGGTCTATTACCCATGGAAACTCTTTTTTCCGAGTCTCTACGTCAATTTTGCGAACTTGCATGTTTCGAAAGGAGGCTCTGTCCCCCACCTTTAGGGGTCAGTATTTAGGAGACTGATGGGGCGATTTTGGATTTCTTGGTGTCGATGTAAGTTAAAAAAATTCTGTACTCTCTGATTCCGATTAAATAATTTCAAAAAGACCCCCACTTTCAGCCCCCCTCCCCCCCCCCCGAAGCCGGGGGGACTCTTGGACCAAGAAATTAGGATACCGAAGGGTCGATTCCCCATTATAACCCACGGTCCTGGACTCCGTACAACCTAAATTAACCGAAAAAAAGCCCTGGCACGGTAGGTCTGGGCCACCCTGTAGAAAAATGTAGTTTTGGCATGTTCTACATTAAAGTGTGTCTAATTGCTGATTGATTTATTGCTCAGGATTGCCTAAAATAAGAGTATGAGAAGGAAAGTAAGTTTTTTAACTCTTAAACTCTCTCAGAATTGATGGACCTCAGAGAGACAATTTGTCACACCCGTAATGCAAACTTTCCCATTATTCAAGGAAAGGAAAAAAGATAATTGAAAACAGATCATCAGCAGTTGAAGCAAAAACCCTTGGCCTTACTATATAATTTAATCAGAGTTTTACATTCATAAAATTCGCTGAGTTTCCACTTTACACTCACTGAGGAAAAACTCACTTCCAAAATCGGTCTCGCCCATAACGCAGCCTTTTAATTTTTTTTGAGGAATGGAACAAAGTAATAACGATTTCTGATAAACTGTAATGATCTATAAAAAAGTTCTTTCTGCTACTGCGGATAATTTCTTAGTTAAACCCCAAGAAAAGGTCCAAATTCTTGTTTAAAGTTAAATTGTTGTCACACCCGTAACAATGGAATGACCCTTGAGCTCGTCAAGCCTCCCTCTTGAGCTGCTGCCACCCCTGCTACATGTCTAATGGCTGCAAAATTAGAATCTTCTTGAAATTTAAAACAAAACGGGAACAATCATTTTGCACTGAAAATGTTGCTATCGTGAATTTTTCCATTTCATCATATTTCTCGGAAAGCTGCAACTGTTTCTGTTCATTATTTGTTGGATGAAAACAAATATTTCACAGGAGAATGACTTTTATTATTATCACGAATTCATTTGTTTCGTGATTTTCTAATAGCTTTGGTGTTAAATTACAGTTCAAGCTGGACACACAGGAAACTTAATTTACTGGTTTGTTTGCTGATCCCTGCCATTTTTTAATCGACGAAGACAGTAGAAGAAACACCTCACAATTTACAGTATTTTGTTTTACCGATTTTTTTAATTGACCCAACAATTGTCATTTGGGGCTGATTATCAGCTCGAATCACCAGACTTTCTATAATTTTGGCGTAAAAAACGATTTTCCATGCTGCCAGCAAGTAACCGGTATCAACAATGAATTATCGACTTATATAGCGGCCGCAGTTTTTTTAATTGTGGGCCATCAATGAGAAATTGTGGAAAAGATAACAAGGAACATTATCATCGCAATGAAAACAAGGGGACATGAGAGAACGACCACAGAAAGAAATAGTCACTGTCACTCGCCATTTGAGAGGCATGTGAGCAAATAAATGCTGATATAGTTTGCATAGCTGCTTAATTTCGCTTGTATGCTTTTAGATACAAAAATTTCATCTTTATGTCTTCAGTATTTATGTGAAATTTACTACTATGCTAACGATCAGCTCTTGTTTTTCAGTTGTCCAGAATTCTACGGCTGCCCCCATTAGGGAATTCGCTCCAAGAAGCCTTTCAAAATTTTGCTGATGAAAAAGATGAGGGACCTTTAGCACTGACACCCATTTATCTTCTAGTTGGTTGTTCCATCCCAGTTTGGATTCATCCTCATCCTGTAGATAAGTGTGATCTGATACCCCTTCTTGCTGGCATTCTCTCAATAGGCATTGGAGACACAGCTGCCAGTGTTTTTGGATCTAAATTTGGACGTCGCCTATGGCCAGGTAATCTAATAAGAAAAATCAGACTTAAAATCAAAGTGTATAAGTATGACGAACAGTTGTCAAATACGTAGGATGTTCCAAAAATACTGCTTGCTTCTCGAGTTTGAGCAAACACTAAAAGTCATCAATATGCAGTTAGTCCAGGCAAACAAGGAAGGGGGCTTGCAAAAATCCTAGGTAGCAATGTTTTCATTGATTTGTACGTAATTTTTGACGCTGAGTCCAAATTCCAACTTTGCACAAAAACCAGAAAGTTGCCCAATTTGGTAAAAATGAACTTAAGTTGGCTTTTTCGGCGGATCATGGCCCGTTACTTGCCGAAAATTGATTTGACGACAAAATTAGTTATTTTCAAAATTAAAGCTCGTTAAATTTCCAAGAAAATTGTTCGGGAGTATTTTTTTCTCAATGCAAAATTAAGCGCGCTGGCGGGCGCCGAACTTTGAAAAAAGCCAAAATTGGCATTGCTTGCGATTTTTGACCATTGCTCTCTTTCTGTCTGATGAACGCGCTATTGACAAATGAAGTGAAGTTAATGGAAATTTACAATAAATTCCATGTATCGAGTTCAAACATAAGGAACTAACTGCATTGCAATGTTGCCAAGATCATGTAAAATTGTCTTTGACGGTTTTTGACCATTATTCCTTATTATTCTTTTACTTTTTTATTCTTTTTAGTTTATAATTTGGGACGAATGAGTCAGAATCGCTTAAAGAGAGGTTGAAATAATTCATTGTCACAATCTGTGTCACTAGAATGGGGTGTAAACACGTCAGACGGTAATGCCATCTAATATGCTCTCTTACAGTGCAGAATTTACCACGAGGTTATTAGATATTACCTAAGCACTTAATATGGGTGCCCGTCTACGAAACAAGGGGCATTAATCCAGATAAAATAAAACAGATTTATTGTGACGGTACACAGCAAAATGCTCTAAAGACTTTGAATGACAATATACTTAAGAAAGTTAAACCAGATGCGAGTGATGTGGAAGTTTGAAGTTTGCAGCTCAAAAAACTTTGTTCCTGGAAGAGGCTATCCAAAATTCTATTCCATTATCTTTGCGGCACGAAGAGACTTACTTTTCTTGCAACTTATCCATTGAGACATTAAAACATGTCCCATTAAAATTTTAAAATCTGATTTATCGACCCAACTTAACGAAATTCATCCTTCTGACAAATTTCCCCATCTGCTACTATGGGATGTGGGTGGCAACAAATGCCATTCATAAAAAGCTGAACAGCAGCTAACGGTAGAGCTGAAAGATTTTGACTTTGGTGGATCCAAGCACTTGAAACGGGGGAGCACAGTGGGGAAAATGGTCGATCTAGCTGCTCAAAAGTGGGATTTTCTGAAGTTAAGCAGAAAACTATCCAACCGTAAATTGCATTCTTAGGCATTCACTGACACGGTATCAGTGAATAAAATGACCAAAAAATTGGTCGTTGTAGAAAAATTGAGGAGAAACCGTGAGGGTAAACCGGGAAGACTCATGGAGCCCAGATGAAAGATACAATGTACGTACTCAACACTGACTATGTTAATGCAATGGGTCATGCAATTGATTGTTTTCTAGCAGGCAGTAACTCAAAGAAGTGTATAAAATGTGTCATTTTATTTCTGGAGCATTCCTTTTCATAGTTTCTATTTTTTCAAAACCTACCCTGAGACATCTGTGGTTTTGAACTTAAGAGAATTGGAAAGTGTCAGGAACAAGCAAGAACAAGGATCAGATTTGTACAAGGCGACGCAAAGTTTCATTTAGTTTCATAATGGCTCAATACATTTTATGACTGAATCTGCAAGTGCTTTCTAAGGATTAATAAAAGGTATTTTAAAACAAAAGCATTGTTATAAATTTTCAATGGAAATGCAAAAAAAAAAAAAAAAAAAAAAAAAAAAAAAAAAAAAAAAAAAAAGGATATTTTTTGGCTTCTAAAGGACCAGAACGAAGTAGGCACCAAAAGGATCTCTTGGGCTGTAAAATGGTTCAATACATGCTATATATCTGCAACTTGTACGTCGAACAGATCTTCCATTTTCTCATTTCATATTTATTTATTTATTTACTTATTTATTTATTTATTTGTACATGGAGCCTCTTATTTGATAAGGGCTAAAATACACGTCAGTGCTAGCTTTTGGAAAATTTCAACTAAAGTTTGCTTGCTAGAGGTAATACGATGAACAGGAAAATCATCCACTCCGTTAGCTGCTTTTTTACTGATTTTACTCATCATTTGTCTTATGTTTTCTATTGACACCTCTTTAAAATTGAAAATTTTTCCTTCTTCGATGAGATTTTCTTGTAAGTAACCTAAGGCTTTTTTAGAATCTCCTAACGTTTGAAGCCGATTTTCAATCCCTGCATTAAATTCATTAAATTGATTTGCTATTTCTTTAGGATCTTCATTTTTGGTATCCTTTACCAGAACTGAGTCAGTTGTTGGGATATCGCTGTTCTTAACCTTCGTCACATCTCGAATTATTTTCCGAAGTTCAGCTGTTTTGCTATTGTTTACGGCATTGGTCATCCGTGCTATGTTATTTTCTTTGAAGGCTCTCTTAGTAATTTTGTGAATTTTTTTATTCAGTGAGTCTATTCACTCTGGTTTTAGCTGCTTTATGTCGGTACTGCTTGACCTAAGGTCAAGCAGTACCGGTCAAAAGGTCAAGGACATAAGGAAAAAAAAGGTCCTTTTTTTAAATCTAAGAGCGATTTTAGCAATTTTCTATCTTTTTCCGTCATGGTAAAGGTCGCCCTCTTTGGTTTGTAGGGCACATGTGGGAAACTCTTTTTGTGACTTAAACTATTTTGTCATAAATTTCGACGAAATATGAGTTAAAAGCATTTTTTTGATTGCTACTTCTATGGTCTAGGTTAATTTTCTTGATTTCCTGTAGAAATAATGCGTTATTTTTAGCAGAGTAAACGCGGGCCATTCTCTGCCTTTTGCCTAATTGTTGGATGGGACTTTTGGAGATAATCTCCTGTGATCGAAAAAGCTTGTTTCCCACTATATGAGATATTTTGAGGTTTGTGATACAGTTATCTAAAAGGCGATTAACAATCGTTTTGTTTGCACGTTATTACGTTGGTGAGCGCTAACCCAGATAACAATCCAACGTTGACAACAACGCAGAATTCAACGTTTCCTGTGAAACCTTCCACGTGGACAGCAACACGTACCGGAACGTGTAATTCAACGTGGGTGTCCACGTATTAAGTACCGTTTCCGGAACGTTCCCGCGTAAACGTCGCAGCGACAACGTCTACAGGAACGCTGCAGTATCAACGTTGCGGTGACTACAATGCACGAACGTGTAGCGCTTAGGTTGCAGTAAAATTAGAATCCATCTTATTCGCATGGCATAGGGCGGCATTTATTTTTGGACTTTTCACAATTCGTGCGTCTCTTTCCCTCTTAACGTGTTCACGATTCGAAAATGTCGTTAATTATTTAGTTATTTGTGATAAATGATGAATACTTAAACAAAATACAACTATTCTTTCCATGGGTCCGATTTTCCGGAGTTAGCACAAGGGAAAGAACCCCGTACAGAGCATGGGGTCAGCGGCTCTCGATGGAAGTCGATGGAACTTTAATAGATTGATATAAAGTTCATAATGAAGGGAAAGCCAAAAAATTAGCTCACTTTGGCGAGTAGAAGCCGAGATATTCGCGATTGAACCCGCACTATTTTCTGTGCGGCGGAGGTAAATTCTCCGTGTCGCCTTACCTTGCTTGAGCACTTCGGCCAGGAAACCCCCTCTCCCCACCAGGTAACTACGATGTCGCATTGTTTACACTCACTCCGTTTATTAGGACGCTCCGTTCGGGCTGTGCGATATGGAGTTCCCTGCTTCTCGCACCTCTCCCGTGCCGGCGCCGCCGGCCGGTTTAATCTGAAATGTATAGTTGCTGAAACAGAATTGACAGATGCGGGGAGAGGGAGGGAGTACGGCATTCGCACCGGTCGAGCGCATAAGCACCTATCTTCACGTGAGTGACGTGAGGTCGCCGAACAACGAGAGGAGAGGGGACTTGGAATTCTTCCGCCATACTGCGGCATGATAGAAAATAGTCCGGATTCAATTACGAATATCTCGGTTTCTACTCGCCAAAATGAGCTAAATTTTTGGCTTTCCCTCAATTATGAACTCTAAATCAATCTATCTAAGTTTCATCGACTTTCATCGAGAGCCGCTGACCCCATGCTCTGTGCGGGGTTCTTTGTTGGGAAACCAAAAATTCGGATTCAGCGTCAAAAATTACATAAGAAATCATACAAAATCATAACCTGATTTCACCTAAGTTTTGCAAGTTAAATCTGTATTCTATCCTCTATTGCCTGGACTTCATTAAAAATAGTGGGAATATCTGTAACGGAAAATTGAACTAAGAGGGAAATGTTGAATCCTGGTCTGTTAGTATGGTAAGTGAATCGAAGGTATGCTCCTTTGCTATAGACTATCCAAAAGCAATGAAATGCTCTGTTCCGTTTCGTTTCAGTCTTGGCGTGAAGTTTGAAATGAATGCCGATTTTTTCATTTGATTCTTATAGGTCGAATCGCTCCCGGCCAGAGGGAGATTTGACAAATGAGATTCAGGTATGAAAATCTTTTAATTTTTTTGGTCGTTCTTTGTCGATGCGAGCCCAAGAGAGCGCGAAGTGCCCTTTTAGGGGTTGAGCCGCGTAGCGGCTAGGGGCATAGCTTTCTAATTTTTCATGTTCTTGATGAAAACGGAAATTAGGAAAAAGCAACAGTTATCCTTTAAAACATTTTGGCGACAAGACGGGTCGTAAATAGCTCCCATTAATTAGTAATTTTCATTGTTTTATATGCAAACATCAATTTTAACACAGTAACTACATGTAAATAAACTTTAAGTGAACCCATTTTCGTTGAAGTTGGTGCTGTAGTGCTTGTGTGTCCAGAAAACTGGGAAATACAAATCACACAAAGCCTGCGACCCTTCAACAGAATT